AAAACCACGACTCAAGTTTACTTTCTCTTCTGACAACAGAATCTCCAGATTCAATCTCATCACTCATCTACTCAGAAATTTCTCAGATCTTTCCGAGTTTGTTTCTTTTGATTTATTATGATAAAAATGAAAATATAAATTAAATAACACACAGTTCCAAAAGACGAAAATCTTCTCATTCCGTATTTGTCATATCTTGTGTTGTCACAAATGTCGGTTATAGTTTCTATTCCGGCGTTTCCCAATCTCAAAGAAGAGCGAGATATTCTTCTCTTTTTGCCACTTTACACTACTATCTTGGCACGAGGGAGCACCCAACCACTGCCAATAACGGACAACTTGGTTGATCCACTTGCACTTTCCCTCCGATATCTTCCCAAAACTCAAAATTCACTGGAAAATGTTCTGACAGCAATCATGAACTTTTCAAACCGAATCAACCAAGACACCCGTCTTACTGTGCCGGTTTTGAAAGTGCTTGAAATGGTTGACCCGTCGAAGTGTGGCGGGGATGACCAATTTGACACGGACGTCATTGTACTATCCATTGCAGCCAATTGTTTGTTTGAGTTGAAGAAAACTGCACAAGCTGTCGCCACGAGCAAATTTGTATTTAAGTGGGCTGAGCGATTTACGAGCCTTGGGGAAGAAAAAGACGAGAAAGTTGTGAAGGGGTATTTGGCATTAGTGTTATGTGGAGTTGCATATGTGAGTAAAAATGTTGGAAAAACTATTCAAGTTGAATGGGATGAAGTTTTAAGAATTTTGGAGGAATTTGCGGCGTTCCAAAAGAATTGTGGAGCTCTTGACGAGATTGGACAAAGAAGATTAGTTGACGCAATGGACGTAATAGAGGAAATCCAAAACGAAAAGAATGAAGAAAAAGGAAAAGAGAAAAGTGAACATAAGATGGAAATTAGCGAAGAAAAAAGTGATCAAAGAGATGAAAAAAGATTGAAAGTGGAGGAAGAAAATAAGGGAAAAGAAAGAAAATTGCAAAGAAGGATGTCGTTTGATTCACTCACATTAAACGAGATCGACTGTTACTAAACTTTTTTATGTTTTTTTTTGTATTGTTTTATTTATAATTTGTTTATTATTTTACTTTAGTCTTATATTTTTTTTGTTTACTATTATATTATGATAAATAATACCAACTTATTAGGTTTTTGGTTTCAAAATTTTTTATTTTCAAAAAAATGTGGAGAGAACTAAAAGTAAATAAATTAACTAATAAATTAATAAATTAATAAATAATTACTTGAGACAAAACAATAATTAAAACAATAAGATTTTTATAATAAATTATATTTAAATCAAATTAATGAATGTTTGCATTAGAATAAGACATCGAAAGAATTAGTTAACTTAAAGAATCGATAATTTTAAAGAGAATTTGGAAGCTGGGGCTTTAGTTTCCCAAGCTCTCTTATAAGCTAAAACGATTTGACCTTCACCTCTTTGAGTGGCAGTCAGAGTGATGGTATAAGTACCCGGGACACCACACATGCCTGGTTCACATGGGTCTTGAACGTAATCGATATCAGCAGTAACACCAGTAGATTCAATTACCATCCAACTATATCCAGTGGTCGGGTTTCCATTTAAAGTAATCTTTTGTTTCTGGCCAAAGGTCATTTGGATTGTTTGTCCATTGTTTTTCTCTGTTAAACTCATTGTGAATTGAATTTTTAAAGTTCTTTTTATTATTCAGATTGAAGTTTTCAATCTCGAATTGTCAAGCACTCATTTATAAGTTACTTATAAAGTTTCGGATTGAGTTGTTTTTTTTTTATGGTTTTTTATTTAGTATTGTTAATTTTATTATTAAAAATAGGTATAAAAATGTTGTACTAAATTAAACTCAAAACTGCGGTTTTTTTAACTTCAGCCAAAATGTTTATTATTTTTATTTAATAATATAATGGATTGGAATTTGAAAAAAAATAAATAAATCGGATTCAATCATCATCGCACTTTTTTATATTATTTGGTTAAAATACAAATTATATTTTATAATTTAATCACAATTATATTATATTAATAATTAAATTGATTAAATATTAAAAACATTAAAAATATAAATTATTTTTATTAAATTTTAACTAGTTTACTACATAATAATTAATAATAAATATAATAGTTCGAAGATATTATAATATTATATTGGTTTTATAGAAAATTGTCTTTTGTTGAACTATAGCCCTATAATCTATTAATATTTATTCAGATTATTTCACAATCTAAATAAATAAAAACACCATATCCCATATTAAATAATTAAAATTAATACAATACAAATCCATTGTATTGTTTCCAGTTCCATAAAAATTTACGTTGAACAAAATAGTTATTAACCATTTTTAATAATACAATATATTATAAATTATAATACAATTTTACAATTTGGTCAATTGAAACATTTTGATTAAAAAAAGTAATTTTTTATCCATTTTATCGATTAAAAAACCCATAACTATTTTCATTATACACAAAATTATTGTGATTAACCGGGATAATAGAAAGGGTGTGTTTTCGACAGTCAGAGGTATAGTTTCGCCAATAAAAACAAAGAGAACTTTGCAGGGTTTTGATTATTTTGTGACAAAAGAAAACAGAACAACATTTCGGGTTTTTCACCTAAACTATAATTTGAGTTTAATGTTTTCTATATTGTTCTTCAATTGTATTTTTATTAAAACTTATTGAGCATAATAAACAACAGTGATAAATTACCAAAGACATTTTATATAATTATAATTTTAATTATCATACATTTAACTATAACAATAAAACATGAAGTGAAAAAAGTAATAATGCCGATAATCATAGGGCATTAATTACTTGTCGCTAATTCCCGTTTTTTAAGACCAACCAAATGCAAAACCATGTTTTTTAAATAACCCTTTTTGTAAGTAAGTTCCCGATTATTCGTCTCTCTCCAATGTGTCACTCCGACAAAAATGCTAAACTTTCAGTTAATTAATTGAGTCGAACAAAATTTGTCGAAAAACTCTTGAGCAACGGTGAATAAAAAAGAAGTTTAGCGTACAAAGCGTTTTGACAATCTCGATCTTTTGGTGTTATGTATTAATACCAACACGACTTTTTCCTCTCATTTCAAAAATGTCATAAAAAAAAGTGAAGAAATGCCGATGAATGTCATTTCCACATTATATACTCCACTTGCAAAGTCATTGATATCTCGTTTAGGTCTGAACTCAAAAAATACATATCGATGGGGAACCAATCGAGTGCGTCACTCCAAAAAGGTAGTCTCAAGGATTTGTTAGGTAAAGACTTCTCAAACCCTTATGCTGTCAATCTCACAGTAGACTCTTCTCTAAACTCTTCACACTCTTCAAGCTTGTCATCCCCACGTGTCAGAGCTGACTCTCCGAAGAGAAAGGAAGTCAAAACATTGGTGATGTCAAAGTCTCAAAAATCAACTCCGCGGACACCAACGAATTCAACTCTGAAAGACTCCGACATCGCTAAGAGACGATTTTCAACACTCAAGAAGTTCAAATCTTCGTTGAACCTCTCCGAACAGAAAGACCAAAAAGTCGAAACGAAAAGAAACGCTCTTACTCCGCGCGTTGAGGACTTTTTACTCGACGAATCGGCCAATAAAACGCCACGAAGAAAATTGTTACAAATGGACTTCGCAAGAGAACAACGAAAAAGCGTACAACTCAGTCCGCGGTTCGATGTTGCACATATGCACGTCCGGAAGTCGATCCGGACGTCTGCGCACCTTTCTTTCAATTTACAGTTTGACTATAACAAGGCGCAAATCGAGAAAGTGACGTCTTTCATTCATTCCTTTGGACTTAACAAATGTCAATTGATCTTCGACTCAAATCAAGACGAGTTGAGTGCGCGATCGTTCAATTCCAAAGTCGCGTTGTGTAAGAGTGTCTTCATTATTGTGACAACACGAGAGGGCCATGTGTTGGGGTGTTTCCAAAATGGGTTCTTACAAGTCCCTAGTGTGTTTCAATGTCTTCGATCGAAGCCGGACGACTTTGTGTTGTTTGGTTTTGGCGAGCATTTTTCGCAAGGCGTGTCAAAGAGGGATTTGAAGGATGACACGGGACTGATTCTCTACCCTAAAAAGGAGAAATCAATGGTGTTCACATGTCATGGAGCATTCTGGGTGATGAGTGACGGGAAAGTGTATATCCAACAGAACGTCAGTGACATTTATGATGTCAACAAACAGTGGGAAAATCCGTTGCTCAATTTAAAAGTCCAAAAGTTCTTAGTAGCAGAGAGTGTGCTTGCCTTTGAATTTGTGGAGTAAAGAAATCGAAGTCTTTTTGAGCAAAAGTGTGTAATTTGAAAAATAGTTTTTAATAGTTTATTTATTATAAATGGGAAACTATAGAGATCACATGGAGCCGAAGTGACTCCAAAAGACTTAAAGAGACGAATAGAAGGTAAGTTGTTGATTAAAAGGAGGGATTGGTTGTGAGGAACTTCTTGAATTCTCTGATCCATATGTGGAAAGCGACTTGTTCGTCGATTCTTTTTAAGATCTCTTCTGTTGTGGCATCGGGTTGAACTATTGAGAAGTGGGGACAGATCCCAATTTTGTTGACTACTTGATCCTTTTTATCGTCAGAAAGATTTAAAAAAGTGGTGTGGAGTTGAATGTAAAGTGGAGTCTCGTCGGCATATAACATTGGGATGTTCTCAAAGACCTCTTTTTGTATGTCTGGTGGAGCTAACATCACGAATTGCTTATGAAGTAAGTCAGCTTCGATGATCAATTCTGAAGGGAAAGGTTTTGGAAGCATTTCTAAGTACACACAGAAGTCGTCGAAGCCCATATTCTTCTTCAGAATATCATCTGAGTGATAATTAATAATACTTACCACTAAAAAGAGACTCATTTGTCTTTCAGGGAATGCTACAAATCTCTACATGTTAATTAAGTTATTATTCTTTTTGAAGAAACAAACATCCCAGATCAATAAGAGTTGTGGCTGCTCAAATTCTCTTTTGAATAACAAGACTATCCATTTCCACACAAACCAAAACTCCATTTTAAAAGAGGTCAGAAGGTGATATATCTTTTGATTCGAGTATTGGAGGATCTTCATAAAACGTGATAAGATCAAAGACTTCCATTCATCATGATGTTCATACCCACATGGTATCACTAACTCCATGACATTACAAATCAACTCAAAAGCTACGTCTTCTCTCTTCTCAAACGACACGATAACAGAAAAGATCTCAAGAAGGCCTTGAATAAATAAAGAGATTTGTCGCATAGCTACAAATGCTAAGAAGAGTCTTTCCATCTTTTTCCACATCTCTGTCTCCGGTTTAATAAAGATCCCATTCACCTCAGTGCGTGGTAAGTCCTTCGACAATTTGTATTTCAGAACTTGCCACGTTGGCGTGTTAAATTGATTCATCATATCAACATAGGCTAAAGCACTCCAATATGTGTCTTTGTATTTATAGTTGAACAACTTCCTCCACGTCTCTGTTCTAATACTCTGGTCGACTCCATAGTACCCAACCATCTGCCTCAACTTGTCAATAGGGATATTCGCTTCATCTTTTTTAACAGGGTTAATACATAATTCAGTGACATTCTTTAATACATGTTTGTCCTCTGCATCAAATTCTTTATTACGTTCCCCACGTGTAGTCTTGGGAACAGACATTGATAAAGACCTTGAATTCATCTCAGCCATCTCCTCTGGTTTTTCATCTGGAAGTTTCAAAGGGGGTATTCCTCTTTGACTCTTAAATCTTCGAGTTGTTTTAGTGTTGTCTTTAGTCACTGGGAGGAAGTCATTCGTCTGTGATGTCTTGAAGTCTTCGACGAGTTTGTTATAATCGACATTCTCCCCAAATTCAAAGGAGACGTGTTTCGACTCAAATATCATTTTTTCATCATAAGAGTCCACTAGAATCAAGTTGTTCCAATTCTTTTTGAATAGTTCAAGAAAGACCTCAAACTCCGTTTGTTTCTTAAATACAAATTCAGTGGCTCTGAACTTCGACTCATCAAAGAAGAAGAAGAATGCTTCATTTGATAAGGTGTCTTTATTATGTTCAATAATAACTCGCTTTACATTGTCTTGTGAGATAACCACAGCAAAGGGGTGTTTTTCATGATGACGTGGCTGGAAAGTAAAATTGGTCTTTTCAGAGTCTGGGAAGATGAGAAGAGAGCCTTTGATACTTCTAATGTCTGGGTTCTGGATGATAGTGACATGGTGGATTTGTTTAAAGATTTGAATAGGAAGACAAGTGTCGTCTGACATGTATTGTTGTATGTAAAACTAAAAAATTTTCATTAATTATTAAATTTTAACTTGTGGCCAGTTATCAACATGTATTTTTAAATTAGAAATAGTGACTCTTTGATAATACAAACAATGTAATAAAATTCCACAGAAAGTTAAATAAAGATGTGAAGTAAACAAATCGCTTCTTTTTACTTGTGGGGTCACAAAACGGATTATCTAATTCGGCCAATTTCCTCAAAAAAAGTGCTTCTCTGAATTTAACAAAAAGAATAACATTTTGTTGTTTTTGTTATGTTTTCTTCTGTTTATGTATTATAAAAATATAAATTGGATATAATTAAATTCTAATACACATTTTACCATTTTTAAACCAGTGTATTAGAATGAAACTATAAATGAACCAATAAGATTAACACAAAAGAATCAAACTACGAACCCTTTTCTATTGAAATGAGTGAGAACACCACCGATAGTGAATCCGCTAAACATTCACCCGTTTCTTCAGAGAGTTCTGAAAGTTCAGACAATGACAAACACAAGAATAGTTCGAGTGCGATGAGTGAAGACTCATCTGATTCTTCGAGTAGTTCCTCCCAATCCTCAAAAGAAGTTCAGCCAACTACTAAAGAAATGTCAGAAGATTCCTCTTCAAGTGAAGACCCCGATTCCGATGAAACAACAAAGAACTTGAAAGAACTTGAAAAAGACGAAGAAAAAGACGAAAAGAAAGAGATGAGTGAAGGTTCGAGTTCATACGAACCGCTGCATGGCCAATTAGAAACTTCGAATTCGAGTGAAGAAGAGGAAGAAGATAATTTAGGCCAATTTGAACCGAAAGAATGGCAACATGACTTTTTAGAATTATTACCAAAACTCTCAAAAGGAGAGAAGGTCGATCACCCTGTTTTTGAAGGAGAACTTCTCATTCCGAAAAAATCTCAAACGAAACAAACGAAACTCGGCGATTACGTCCGCGATAGAATTTTGGAAGTCGAAAAGACTAATTCGAAAGCAAATGTCTTCGACGACGAAGACACTCATCTCGTTAAAGAGACACCCGTGAAAGAAGAATCGAGACTCCTCTCTGAATTCCAGAAGAAAGCTAACGAATTAGAAACCGACTCGGATGATTTACTTGAAGTTAAAGAGAAGGCTCCGACGTTCAATGAGACAGTTCAAGACGAAGTGAAAGAGGAGAAAAGCCGACTGGACCCCGATACGTTGAGTTTTTGGACGCAAAAGAGCGCCGATAAAAATGAGGAATTTCTGAAAAAATTTATTTTGGAAAAAAAATGGATGGAACTCGAAGAAAACGATTCAGAAGAAAATAAACTAGAAAAAATAGATTTGGACGAAGATCAAAAAGAGATTGAAAGAGCAGATGACGAAGAAGCTAAGGAACGACTCGGGATTGTTTCTTATGGGAGAAAAATTAAAGAAACGTTAAGAAAGGAAAGTCAAGCGAGAAGAAAAACTAGAGAACGGTTGAAAGAAAGAAAAGAGGAACAACGAAGAAAAGCGGCTGCTAAAGAAAACGAAAAGAAAAAAGCACAAAAGAAAAAAATTGAAGAAAAAATTAAAGAACTGCAAAAATCTCAAAAAATCCGAATTGACGAAAACTTTTTGGATGAAGATTTTGATGAGGAAAAGTTTGACAAAATGATGGAAAATTATGATGAAAATTATGATGAAAACGACGCTGATATTGAGAAGATGAGAGAGGAGATTGCAGACGAAATGAGAGAAGAAGATTATGATGGTCAGAATGAACCAGAAGACACCAACGGGCAAATACCAAAGAAAGTGAAGTTTAAAAAGAACCAAAACGACAACATCTTTTTAGAACAATCTGATGGAAGTAAAAAGAAAGTTGATGTTGAGAAAATGAGAGGAAAAGATAAGAGTCTTGACAAAATGATTGATGATTATTATAAACTTGAAAATTCCGAGAAGAATGGAAATGACAACATGAGGTTTGAATACGTCAATGTGAATAAAGATGATTCCGGCTTAACTGCGATGGATATTTTGACACTTTCTGATAAGGAACTGAATCAAATTATTGGGTTTAGAAAGCTTGCGACATACTCTGATTGGAGACCAAATAATACGGAACGACAGAAGGTAAGAGAACTTCATAGTAAACAAAAAAAACAAAAAGTTGAAAAAATTGAAAAAGAAAATGTGGAAGAGAAAAGTGAGAGTAAATCTCCCCAAATGAAAGTCGAACAAAAAGATAAAAACGAGAAAAAGAAAGAAACACAAAAAGAAGAGAAAAAAGAAAATCTTAATGTGTCATCGAAAGATGAGTGGAAAGAAAAGCATAAGAAAGGTCCAAGACAGGAGAAGAAACAACTGAAAGCAAAAAAATGAGAAGTAACTATTCTGATTGTTAAATTATTTCTTACTAATAAAATGGTATTAATTACTAGTACTGAATAACTTCTTATACTAATTTATCAAAAATGATTTAATAATTAATAATTAATAGTTTTATTTTTGATTTCAATATAGCATATATTTAATACATTTTACTATAGTAATATATTACAAGAATTTGAAATTCCAAAATGGTAAAAATATGTATTTCAAATAATACAAAAAATTGGTTGAAAAAGAAAAAGAGAAAAACACCTACAAAAAAGGAAAAAAAACTTAAAAAGCAAATGAGAAATTATTCGATCTTTCCAGATTATGGGGCGAAACGAGACTTAGCAAGAATGAGTGAGACGGTGATTCAAAACAAAGCGAATGTGCCGGACATCGACTACATAGAAAAGAAAGATCCGCTTTTCATGTCTGACTATGCGAAAGAGATCTTCAAGTACTTTAAAGAAGAAGAAAGTAAAACGACGCTTCCTGCGGACTTTTTAAAAGGTCAACAATTCATCAAAAGTGCGATGCGAAGGAAATTAGTTGATTGGTTGTCTGAGGTATCCAGTCTTTTAGGACTTTTAACGGAGACGTATCACTTGATTATATATATCATAGACAAATACTTATCATTAAATAAACGAGTTGGGAAGGGGGAGTTCCAGTTAGTTGGAGTAGCCGCGATCTTAATAGCGTCGAAATATGAGGAGTACTCATATGTTGTCATTTCTGATTTAATCACGTTGACTGGCGGAACGTACACTGCTGAAATGATTAAAGAAAAGGAGGTCGATATCTTAAACACTCTGGACTTCTTAATCATTCGACCAACCACTTTGGACTTCTTAAGAAGATTCTCAAGAGCTTTCGAGAACGACATCAAGTGCCACTTCCTCGCTAAATATATTCTCGAGTCGGCAACGTTGGACGAGAAATTGATGGAAGTCCCCGTGTCAAGATTAGCGGCGGCTGCAGTCTATTTGGCAAGAAGAATGTGCGGGATTCAACCGTATTGGAACGATACAGTGAGCTATTACTCGGAATATAATCTCCGAGATATCATCCCAACAGCTATCCAATTAAACTGTTTGATGATGTTCGTAAAGTCACCAGAGTGTTTACAAACAAAAATCCGCGAGAAGTATCTCGACAAAAAGTACCAAGAGGTGTCGCTCGTTCCGCCAGTTGTTTTCACTTCTGAGGAGATTAATGCGTCCAATTCATGATTGTTCTTTGTTTTTTTTTGTGATCTTCTCGAAATAATAAGAATTACTAATACACATAATTACCATCTTTTACTACTCAGATGGGAATTATTAAATTACTATAATTATACTATAATATACTAGTACTAGTAGAGAGCAATATGATAGTACTAATACTATTAAATACTAGTACTAAAAATTCTCCACTTGAAAAATGTTATTCAAAAATGTGATAAAAAAGTGATAAACTGGAAGACCTAAAAAACTGAAGAGCGACTTGAATTCAAAGATGGCGACATGGTTCAATGTACTACGACCGACAGAAAAATTGAATTACACCGGAGACACTGCTGAGATAGTGATAGAAACGACGTGTCCGATAACACATGGAGATTCGAAGGTGTGTGTAATTAACACATTATTAATTCATAGCGAAGGTGGGACGCTATGTGTCGACGATATTTTTAAGAACATCCACACGACTATTCAAATGAGTTCACCGATAGAACGGATTACAGCATTAAGCGAGGGGGTGGTAGTTATAACGAAACAATATATCACATTATATAGTATCGATGTGAATGGCCTCACCCAGAAGTGTCAATACTCGAATTCGTACGTCTCGATCCCTACGGAGAGTGTGGTGTACAATAAACAAACCCTCTTCTATAACACATCAAGCGGCGTTGTCTCAATGACGTGGAAAAGTTCTGAGTTCCAGACGGTGATGTCATACACTAACGACAGACGATTTGATCTGGTGAAAGGAATTGTAGGGGATGAACCATTGAAAAAGGTCGTCGGGATTAGTATCTCCGCGTTTGTCTGCGTCTTCGAGAGAAGAATGGTCCTCGTCACGTCAAACAAAGTGATTGAAATGAAGATGAAACTGGAGGGAAGTATAGAAGACGTAAAACATAACAAAAACAGAATCTTCGTCGCGACACAAAACGACTTCTTCGTGTTCAGCCACAAAATCACAGCACTCGAAAAACTCGAACTCTTAGGAAGGTGGAACGCTAGGGGGGCTTTAATATGCGTCACTGAATATGGAGCAATCTTCAGAAAGGGTGGTGTTGGCTTAGTAGTTAAGTGGACGTGCGAAATGAAAGAGGCGGTGATGTACCGAGTCAATGTCGGAAAGGAATTTGAAGATTTCAGATTTGTGAATGAAGAGAAGATCTGTGAGAAGGCCGGAAAGAACATCATTGTGAGTCGAATTCCGGGCGAAAGTGAAGCAAAGATCGTGCAATCTCAAGAAACAAATGGAGAAGAAAATGAAACGTTGCAAAACGAAAGAGTCGAAGAAAAAGACGAGAAAATGCTAGAAAAAAGAGAAGAAAAAAGTGATAAGAATGAGAGTGAGAAGATTGAAGAAGACGAAAAGAAAGCAAATAAAGGAGTTGAAAATGCAAAAGAAGAAGAGGTGGTCATCCAAGAAATCGTTGAGATCCCAACAACCAGTCTCAATGAAAAGGTCGAAATGGAGACTCAACAAGTGGAGAACGTTGAGACTGTGAAAACGTCTCAAACCATTGAAAACCCACAAGAAACTATAAAGGAAGAAGTCAAAGAAGAAATAAAAGACAAAGTGGTCAATCCCATCATCGATGATATTAACACAACAGTCATGGTTGTGAGAAGCGACAATCAACCAAGTTCAAAGACGAGTGGAATTATTGTGAGTAATGGAAATAACGATGTTGAGTCTCTTGGGAATATTGAAATCCCTGATACAACCGAAATTAGTCAGCCACAAGACCAAAATACACAACCAACAACAGACCAAATTCTTGAAGAGAAGATGCGAAGCGAGAAGATGAATGAAGAGCGTGAGAAGATGGAAAAACTGCGAGAGTTACAAATGAAAGAACGTGAGGAGAAACTGAGAAAGCTTCGAGAGAAGAAACAAAGCCAAAAAGCCGAGAAAATCGAACTTCAAAAGGAACTCGTTTCCCAAAGCAATTTCCCAACTACCCCAAAAGAGAAGGTCAACCCCTCTCCACGCAAAGCAGATGAAAGACAAAGTCCCTCCCCAACGCCAAAGAAGAAAGACAAAAAATTGCAAAAAGATGACGAAACAAAACCAAAATCCCAAGGCACAACTGAGCCACAAACACCAAAGAAGAAAGATAAAAAGAACGAAAGTCGTAAAGAGACTCCTATTGAAAAAGAATCAAAGAAAAAGGTCGTGGACCAGTTTAAACAGATCGACCAATCCCTCGCAGGTTATTTATCATTCATGAAGACGATGGAAGACAAGCCGTACTGCTTGGAGTTTTCGGAGATGTTGAAAGGATTCAGATTGTCTAATTGATGTCTTTTGTTGTCTTCATTCCACCACACTTTGTAGCGTCAAGACCATTGGGTTCTCGTTGAGCATTAAACTAAACAATATGGTACACAAAACTAGAACACCCCAAAAATGGAGTTGTGTGTACTGAAAACAGAACAGTGAGTCGTTGTTTTTCTATTTGTAAATATTTTTAGCACAGTTGTTTGATAATTAACACTCTGGAGTCCCAAAAATGCTGTTTTTGGACAAACCCTAGTCTTTAAAAAAGATTGAGGAACTTCAACTGTAATCAGAAGAAATGAGTCAGGCCGAACAAAAAGCACCGAAAGCGCCGAAAGAGGTGAAAGCGCTCACTCCTGAAGAGGAGGAAAAGAAGAAACGCCGTGAGGAATTGAAGAAGGCCAAATTAGCGAGCAAGAATGAGAAGTTCCAGAAGAAGCAACAAGCGCAGGCTGCAGCGTCTAAGGAGCCGAAAGTGAAGAAGGAAAAGGCACCCAAAGA